TTGGCAGCAATTGCAAGAGCTGATTTGCTATCACAATAAATTGGTACAGGAGACTTGTGCTCGACTCCTAGTTCTCTGAGTAAGCCAAGTATCCATATAATTTCAGCAACAGTAGAAGCAAGGCTACGATATTCAGCCTCAGCTGAACTCCTAGATATGGTAGTCTGTTTCTTTGACTTCCAAGAAATGAGAGAACTACCAAGCTTGACAAAGTAGCCAGTGACTGATTTGCGTGTATTGGGGCATGCAGCCCAATCAGCATCACAGTATGCTGATAATGACTCTGAACATTTGGCCCCCAGAAAAGCTCCTAGTCCTGGACTAGTTTTAATGTATCTCACCACTTTAAGTGCTACTTCCATATGTGATACTTTAGGACTATGCATGAATTGACTGAGACTCTGGACAGCAAAGGAAATATCAGGCCTCGTGATGGTCAAATAAAGCAGCTTACCTAACAACCTTTGATAAGGTCCAGGATCAGTTAACAGTACATCATCAGATGAGCCTATATGGTTGTCAAATTCAGAAGTGGTAAGTTTCAGATTAGGCTCTATAGGGCATCCCATAGGTTTTGCACCTGAGAGTCCCAACTCAGAAATAAGCTCCAATGCATATTTACGTTGATGCATCAATATTCTATCACTATTTTTGGAAAATTCTAGGCCTGGGAAATATTTAAGCTCTCCTAGATCCTTGATCTTGAAGGAAGATAGCAGTTCATCTTTAGTTTGTTGAAGCAGTGCAGGATCATCCCCAGTAGTGAGTAGGTCAACAACATAGACCAAAACAATAACTATGTGAGCTTCTGTCTTTCTGATGAAAAAAGAGTAATCCAGGTGACTTTGTTGAAAACCAGCATCTCTTAGGGCTGAAGTTAACTTGATATTCCATTGCCCGAATGCTTGCTTGAGTCCATAGAGAGACTTAATCAACTTGCAAACTATAGACTTGTTGGTTAAACCGTGGAAACCTTGAGGAATAGTCATATATACTTCTTCAGTGAGATCACCTTGTAAGAAAGCATTGTAGACATCCATTTGATGGATAAACCAATGCCTTGATGCTGCAAGAGCTAACACACCTCCTAACAGTGACCATTTTCACTACAGGTGAAAAGGTCTCTTGATAATCCAGTCCTTCTCTCTGATTATATCCTTTGGCCACTAGACGAGCCTTGAATCTTTCTACTTCTCCTGTTGCTTTATACTTGATCTTATAGACCCATTTGCACCCTATGGCCTTCTGTCCTTGTGGTAAAGGAACCAACTCCCAAGTTTTATTGTCCTCCAAGGCTTTAATCTCTGCCTGCATTGCTTCCACCCACCTTTTATCCTTGATTGCTTCAGAATATGTTGTAGGTTCCACCTCAATAGAGAAACTAGCCAAATAACTTTGATACTTCGAGGAGATCTCCTCATATCCAAGAACTTCTGAGATAGGATATTTGCAACAACTCACAGAACCTGACTTGTCAGGTCTAACATAATCCTTAAGCCATATAGAGGGCTTAGATACCCTAGTTGATTTTCTTGTTCCTACACCAATGGGAACATCAGAAGAAACAATTGGAACTTCAGGAGGATTAGGTTGAACTTCAGCATTGCTATGGATAATAGTAGAAGGACTGTCCTGTTCAGTTAAAGGAACAGGAATCATAGTTGAAGAGCATGGAACACTAGGTGTGGCATGAGAGCTATCTGTAGCAGAACAGTCCACAGCCATTGGTTCTTCACTGAAATCCTGCCTAGGCACTGGACACATATCTAAGAAGAATGAGTTTGATGTGCTTTCAGTTGTATGAAAAGGAAACATGTCTTCATAGAACACCACATCTCGACTGATAAAAAATACTCTATTCTCCAAATCCAACAATCTATATCCCTTTTGATGTGCACATAGCCCAATAGAACTAACCTCGCAGCTCTTGGTACAAACTTGTCAGTGTTTACTAGGTTAGTAGCAAAACACAGGCAGCCAATAACTTTCAGATGTGTTAGTAAATGTGGTTTACAAAAAAATAGCTCATAGGGTAATTTATACCCCAAAATAGATGAAGCAATTCTGTTGATAATATAGACAGCAGAGTCAATGTCCCCAATACCTGACAGGTAAATGTCCTTGAAATCTGATTGCTTGAGCAGTTTCAAGTATGTGCCTATGTCCCCTTTCTACAACTCCATTCTGCTGAGGAGTATAAGGGCATGAGCTTTGATGAATAATTCCATGTGACTGAAATAAATCTTTACAAGCACTATTGAAGAATTCACCACCATTGTCTGACCTAAAGACCTTGATCTGCTACCAAACTGTGTCTTAACCATAGCAATAAAATTCTTAAGCAAGAAAATAACATCAGACTTAAGCCTCATGAGAAACACCCAAGTCCACCTAGTATAATCATCAACTAACGTAGGAAAGTATCTCATTCCATTATGAGTAGCAACCTTATAAGGTCCCCATACATCCATATGAATCAAATCAAAACTGCATATACTTCTGCTAGTACTAGTTTGAAATGGCACTCTAGTTTGTCTAGGTAAGGGACAAATTTCACATTTAGACAATGTACTACTGTGTATGTTACTACTATATTCTTGTAGACTGGGAATTCTTCTAAGAACTTGAACTGGTACATGTCCTGTTCTTTTATGCCATATATCCATGCTTCCCTTATTAGCCACTGCAAAGGCTTTATTCACTCTCTTTCCTAGTGCAGCTGACAGAATGTATAGATCTTCCTCTCTTTTACCAATCTCCTTCACCTTCCCAGACAAGAGGTCCTGAAATACACAGCATTAAGGAAAAAAAGTAACACTACACTTAAGATCTTCTGTTACTTTTGAGACTGACATAAGATTGAACTTTAAAGATGGTACACATAACACATCCTTCAATACATCACCTCCTGTGAGTTGACACTCTCCCATATGAGAAACAGTGGCTGAATCTCCTATAGGTAGTTGAACTTGCCCTGAGTTCCCTACTGAAGTTTCATTTTTTAGCAAACTTTTATCACCAGTCATGTGATTAGTAGCACCAGTATCAACTATCCATTTGCATAGCTCTAAGTTTTCAAAGAGTGCTATATTGCCACAGAAACATTTACCTGCCATGTTTACACTTGCTTCTCCAATGGAATTCTTGTTCAGAAATTGCAACAGTTGATTGTATTGCTCTTTGGTGAAAGATTGACCGGTCTCAACATTGCTTCCTGACTGATAAGTAGTCTGGGGACTTCTCAAGTCCTGCTGTTCAGTTGAGTCAACCATCACCGCATTGGCTTTCTTCTTCTGCTTGAAGTCAGTTGGATATCCAACAATCTTGTAACAATTCTCCTTGCGATGTCCTGTCTTATTACAAAACTCACATTTCATTAGCTTATAGCACTCAATCTTAGTATGACCTTTTAAATGACAAAATTCACATTCTAAGTTGTAATTTCTTCTTGGTCGAGCAGTGAAAAGAGCTGTAGGATCAGTGTGTCCCGCTTGCCCATATGTATTTCCAGCAATCATCTTCCTGCTTTCATCCTGTACTACCATAGCATAGGCTTTATCTATAGACGGCAGTGTTGGCATCAGTAAGATTTGACTCCTTGCTTGCTCAAAACCATCATTTAATCCCATTAAAAATTGCAGCAGGCGCTGATGTTCCAATTGCTCAATGTACTCAGTAGCAGATGAAGGAGGCGGCAATATTGAATCATATTCTGCCCAAAGGTCCTTCAATTTAGTAAAATATGTCGAAACAGATGAGATTCCCTATGTCAGAGTGAAAATCTCCTTGTGCAAGTAGTACAATCTCGATCCATTCACTTTGTCAAATCTCTCCTTGAAAGCTGCACATATCTTCTGAGCATTAGAAGAAAACAGCACTGCTGTCACTAGTTCTCTACTTACATTGCTCATAAGCCACGAGGTGACGATGGCATTACATCGATCCCACTAACTTCCCAATTCTGCACCAAAATCTTCCTTCGATGTCGATCCGTCAACTAGGCATAATTTGTTCTTCCCTAGCAATGCGACTTTCATCGAACGACTCCACAAAGAATAGTTCTCCATTCCTGTCAGAATTAATCCCACCGACATGGATCCTGGACCGTCTGAAGGATGGAATTAAAGAGGATGACTATGATCCAGGATAGTTGTGCTTCCGACCACTCCAGTTCCAGATCGAGCTCCAGCATTCGCATTAATGGTTGAATCTTCAGGAATTGCCATTGAAATATGAAAAATTAGGGTTTAGAACTTCTAAATTTGAGTAGATTCTCTCGAATTTTTCTTCAATTGCTTGAAAAGTTCCCTAGAATCACTCGTTAATACTGCTCTGATACCATGATGAATTTATCAATGGCATGCAATTTGAAATCAAAGATCAGAAAGAGAGAAATTTATAGAGAGAATTTTGAGAAGAAAAACTCTGCTTTTTCTATTCAATATAGAGACGAAGAAGACAACTGAACAGTAAAAAAGAAGTGATGTACTTAACTACTCTAACCAACTAGTGGGCCCAACTATACAACTAAACTAATTACAACTAACCATAGGTATTAATTTAACTAACTAATGGTTAACTACTAACTACACCTATATCCTTTACAATAGTCTTGTCTTTTACCTTTTTAGTGTTTATTGTGATATATTGGAACAATATAAAAAGTTATTAAGTTTTGTAAAAAAATTCCAATAAGATTTTTTTAACTTTTAAACATTTATCTTTTTTTAGGTTAGAACTTAAAAAAATATAAAATTATATTTTTTAAAATGATGGGCCGGCAACTCAGCCCAACTCATCAATTGTTAAAGCCCACGTGAACTGAGCTAGACTAGCCCGATCCCGCCCATATTGACAGCTCTAACAAAAACAAGGAATTACTTTTTCCAAGGGGTATTAGAAAATGAGGGCTTCGAGCCTATTCCCTTTTTTTTGGATAAAAGAAAACCAGCTGGGTAGTATAAATGGGAAGAAGTATATAACTTGCACAATAAGCCAAATATTCTGTCCATTTCAGTTTTCCAAAAACAGAGAGTATAACACCAGAGAAAGTGGTTCCCCCTTTTAATTTCCCCTGACCATTTTTCGGTTCATCCTTCTTCGTGTCTACCGCGTGAACCAAAGATTTCTCTCCCTTCTCGAAAAATCATCCGTTCAAATGATTCCTGAGTAATTTCATCTGCTTTACTTCCTCTGTTTTCGTCCATTTCTCTTCTCTCTCTTCTCTTTTTTTTTTTTTTTTTTTGCTTCTGATATTATCAAAAGAAACCGTACAACTCAAAATACAGCATTGAAGTTTCAAAAGCCCTTGCAAAAGCTTTAAGAGATTCCTATTTTGAAGATTTCGATATTCTGATTGAGGTATATGAACTCTTCTTTTTTGTTTTCACATAATAATCTTCATAATATGTTTTTAATACGTACCAATAGCATGTGTAATGTACGTTCATGTCTTACCATTTTACTTGTGTTTGTTTCTTCTCGATACATCCTAGGGTTTGTGCACTCACTTTTACAATCTTCATGTGGCTGCGGGTTTTGGGATTTTGGGGTCATTATTGTTGAGAACAGAGGAGTAAAAAAAATGTGTGTGTGGGGTGGGTGGTAAATGGTGGTTCCGGAAAATTCTAGAAAAACATTTTAAAATGTGTGTTTGTGTACTGTGTAGAGTAAAATGGTGGTTCCGGAAAATTTTAGAAAAATATTTAAATGTGTGTGTGTGTGTGTATGTATAGTAAATGGTGGTTGCAGAAAATTTTATAAAAACAATTCAAAATGTGGGTGTGTGTGTTTAGTAAATGGTGCATCTACTGCCTTTAGATCCTGGATTAGCCTTTGATTGAAAATGTGTGGTTAGCTTGATTTGAAAAGCAGCAAATCAAAGTACATGTAATGCTGGGTCTATTCATCGGCACGGATGAATGTTTTTACTGCTGTGATTACCTTGGACCCTAGGTGAAAATAGGACCCAGTAAATTGGTTAATTGCTCTTTCCAGCATTTCTTGTCATGTTGATTATCCTCATTTTCGTGTTCTAGCTTTTGGGGTGGATTTTTTTGTAAAGACCAGAAACAGGTTGATTACTTGAATCTCTGCTAATTGGGCATTGTAACTAGATTGACAGACCAACGTTTACACATAATCTAGCATGCATCTCAAGGAATATATCTGTAGTATATGATAACGAAGTTGAGTGCATTTGTGTGGGCTGTATATTACTTTTTGGAAAAAGTATATTAGTTCTATTGGAGTTGCTGGAGTAGCTAATGTAAACTTGGATGGTTTCTTTGAGGTTGACTTCATTAATATATGAAGGAGAGAGACATTTATCCGCAGTTTGGGGAAATACAATTTAGGGTAAGTTGTGTTTAAGAAGAGGCTTGCATCAGAAAGTGAGGAAGTTTCTTGCTCCATATTCAATTCTCTGCTCTTCCACTTTTCATTCTGAATGACCAGTAGTTGCTGATACCACTTGATGCAGCAATGCAAGTGGTAGCAATATCATTTTGTTAGTTGGAAGATGAATCCAAGCAGCTGGATTTAACAATTGAGCCTTCTATGTTACCCGTCTTACTTGTCATTGTCTTAGAAGAATATCTGTTCCGACTGCATTTCAATTTCCTTTGTTAAGCATTCTTTAGTTTGGTTATTAACAAAACACAAACTGATCTTTAGCTTTTAACCTAATTACAGGTTGAAGATGTCTCGTAGAAGATCGGAGAAAAGTGAGAGCACTAATTCAGAGTTGGAAGAGTTGAAGTATAAATACTATAAAGATTTAAGAAATGAAAAAGTCAAAATTAGACGTTCTGGAAAATATTTCAGATGTCCATACTGTGATAATTCTAGTAAAGAATATGATTTGCAAGATCTTCTAAGGCATTCTTCCCGCATTGGTAGAGATTCAAAGAGTGCTAGTTTTAGAGACATAGCTAGACATTTGGGATTGCTCAAGTACTTGGATAGGTACGTCGATGCAGACAAGACGGTATCCAAATCAAGTCGGACGAAAAGTTTTGAGCCATCAGGGAAGAGTTCTCGAGATGCTAAGAGTGATCCAGTAGAGCCATTTCATATCACTGAGCAGTACAAAAGCGGAGGAAAATTTTATTCATCTTCTGTTAGGACCAGTGAAGCAGTAGATAAACCTGTTGATTGTGCTGAAGAGCGTCCGAGAAGGGAAAAACTAAATGCAGAGAACACAGTGGCATCCCAACCTCCTCTCAGAAGTACTAAAGATGTTATGCCACCCCAACCTGTCCTAGCATCTAATGAGCAATGTATCAACGAGGCCAAGGACGATCCCATAGTTTTTCCCTGGATGGGAGTAGTAGCCAATATACCGGTTGAAAATAAGGGAGGCAGGTATGTAGGTAAAAGTGGAACAAATCTAAAAAAGGAGTGGATTGCCAAAGGGTTTAATCCAGTGAAGGTTCATCCTTTATGGAATTTCCGGGGTCACACTGGCTATGCCATAGTTGAATTTAAAGGGGATTGGTCGGGATTCATGAATGCTATGGCATTTGGTAAAGCATTTGAATTGGATAAACATGGGAAGAGAGATTGGAATTTAGTAAGACGTCGGGATGATAAATTATATGCTTGGATTGCGCGTGATGAAGATTACTACTCTGAGGCTCTCATTGGTAAACATCTCCGCAAACATGGAGATCTAAAGACAGTTTCTGAAATACAAGCAGAGAATAAAAGGAAAGATTCTAGTCTACTATGCAACTTGACCAATGAGTTAGAGATGAAGAACAAGGCATGTGAAGAGATGAAGAGAAAAATAAGCAGAACTGAAGTTTTTATGGATAATGTGATGAGTCAAAAGGAGGAGATGGTTCAAAACTACAATGAAGGTGTATTTTTCTTTTGCCTCTTTGCTGTAAACTAGTCACATAATATCTTTTTTCTATTTTATTGCTTTACTTAAACAGAATACTAAAGATACACCTGTGCGAAATTTGTTAATCATATCATGAAGTTGTGCCTCATTCTGTTGTTGTTTTTCTCCTCTAATGTCATTTAATTTGTGTACTAGAGATGGAGGTGATGCGGCGTAAAGCATTCAATCAGCTCCGGGATTCCATACGTGAGCATGAGAAAAGTCGAATGCAGCTCGAAGCTCAAAAAGAAGAATTGATGCTACGAGAACAAGAATTGAGAGAACGTGAAGCACTAAATGAGAGTGAGCAAAGAAAGCTTGACCATCAAAAGGAGATGGTAAGATCTTTCTAAGATGCTGTCATAAGCTTCCTGCTTTAGCTTGCTGTCTGTCTGTTGGATATGAAAAGAAAAGAGGCTTACAGAGAAGTGCATTGTTTTGCAAGTGGTGCTTTGCAAAAAGGGAACTGAAGTTTTCCTTTTAAGAATATCTAGCATAATTTTATCCAATTGAAAGGAATTTGACTTACTTGAGCATATTCAGTGTGGTCATCTCCGCCTTTATGTTTCCAGTTTGCTTGCATACCTTTTTCCTGATAATATTGGTTATAGGAGTTACTTAGCATTCCAGGTCCTTAGATGTAATTCTGATGCCTAATTTGGCAGTTCTTTCTGAAAATTCTTTTTCTGCAGAATGAGAGGGCGATTTTGGAGCAGAAGAAGGCTGATGAGAAAATGTTGAAATTGGCTGAAGATCAGAAGGTGTGCTGTGCAGTTTTGGCTAAGACTGCCTCTTTGAGAACACAATATTTCATAGCTTTTTAGCTATTGACTTTGGGGTTTTACTTGCAGAAAGAAAAGGAACAACTTCATAAAAGAATAATTGAACTTCAAGCAAAACTTGATCAGAAGCAAGCACTGGAGTTGCAGATTGAGCGCTTGCGAGGTGCCATGGAAGTGATGAGACACATGAATGTGGAAGGAGATCTCGAAGCGAAGAAGAAACTGGAATCAATTCAAGAAGAAATCAAGGAGAGTGAAGAAGAACTTGAAAGCTTGGAAACACTGAATCAAACTCTAATTATAAAGGAAAGACTTACAAATGACGAGGTGCAAGAAGCCCGTAAAGAGCTTATCAATGTGAGCATTCGTACATTTTTAATTCATCCTCGTAATTTTTTTTCTTTCTAATGAAGCAATGTGATTATAATTGGAGCTAAACATATATGTTTTATAAAGGTTTTGGTTGCTTTATATTTGTCCACCAAAGTAACGAGCATTTTATTCACCTGCATGAGCAGCAAATCCTTCTATTTACTAAGGAGTTCAAATGTGACAAATAGATTTCCAAATAATTTGAGTTCACCATACATTGCCTTTTTTAGGAAGTATACTATTTGTGAAATGAACAGATGAATTTGAAGTTAAAGTAGTGAAGAATAAGGATGGCTTGTAGTCACAGGCACTCACATCATTTTCTTCCATTGTAATTGATCTTTAATTAGCTTTCATTGGGATTCAATCTTGAACTACATCTTCACAATCAGTTCGAAGAAATGCTCATCATTGTTAAAAAGAAGAAAACAAAAAAAAGAGGAGAGTTCCATAACATTTTTACACCTGCCTCGTTCCTCTGCTTGTAACAGTATGCACATCTATATTATATGCCATTGTTATTTACATGTTTGTAGCAGCTAAAAGTTTAAAACTAACTCTATAAAATTCTGGAGATATGCACTACAGAGGAACCTTTTGAAGATGGTAAACTTGACTTGATAATTTGTTTTACTCCTAACATTGTGGGTTTTTTTCCAGGTATCTCCTTGCCTTTTCGATCTAGTTTTATACATACATGATTTCTCATGAACATTTTTTTTTGACTTTTGAATTTATCATACTTTTTGCTTGGTTATTGTTAAGTGTATTTATTTCTTTTAGTTTTTACCATTCTTCATGACGTTCTCTCTTAATATGCTTCTTTGACTTCTTCCCTCTGTCATGTTTGTTTCTTGGAGATTCTCATTCATAATCAGCTCAAGCTTGATATTACTGCAAGGAAGTGCAAATGAGTCTGATATCTGCAATATGGCTCATGCATTAAATTGGCTTCTGAAGACAATCTGCAGTAGTAGCTGCAAGCTGTTGTAGCTTTACATTTACATTGCCGGATATCTAGAACAAAGGAAACGAATTGTAGACCTACAAACATGCCACAGTACAATTATTCTAATTTTTATAGAAGTATCTTCTTAACATGAAGATGATTCCAATCTCATTCTGCAAACCAATACTGTAGGAACAGCAATTCTATGTGCAATCGTCATGTTCTTTCCCTTTGCTCTAGATAATTAGTGCTTGATTTATTTTGTCACAGGGTTTAAAGGATAGCCGTGCTTTTATCTGTGTCAAGAGAATGGGGGAACTTAATGAGAAACCATTCCATGCTGCTGCAAGAAAAATTTACAACTCGGAAGAAGCAGCAGAGAAAGCAATGGAACTATGTTCCTTGTGGGAGGATCACCTGAGGGATCCAAATTGGCATCCGTATAAGGTTATCCAAAAGGGTTTAAATGTTGAGGTATGCACTCTTTTATACATTGTTTCTCTGTATTATTTTTTGTTCCTTTATTTTCAATGTAAATTTTATTTACTTTTGATTTCTCAGGAAGTAATTGATGAAGATGATGAGAAGTTGAAGGATCTAAAGACTGAGTATGGTGAAGAAGTGTATCAAGCTGTGGTAACTGCCTTAAATGAGTTGAATGAGCATAACCCCAGTGGTAGGTACCCAGTACCTCAGTTGTGGAATAATAAGGAAAAAAGAACTGCATCATTGACAGAAGGAGCTGAGCACATATTGAAACAATGGAAACTGCATAAGAGGAAAACAAGATGAAGCATTTGACTGAACTTTGAGGGGAAAGAAGTAGGAAAATTGATTGTCGCATGATAAACTCTAGTAGGCCAGCTTAACCATTAGCAGGAATTCTCAAAGTCTGCAAAACTTAGTTTTATTACCCATCCCTTCATTTAGCTCTATAATTTTTGTGAAAATTTTAGATGAGACAGTTTGTTCTTTATCTGCTGGTTCATTTTTTGTCATTAGATACATAGCAGCTTCAACCATTTTGTAAATTCTGACCAGAAACAGCTAGAAATATATGGATTAAGTCATTGGATAGTTTACTGTACAAAACAGGGGATCACTCTGTAATTTTGCAGCACGGTGCTCTGTCATTCTCTTTATTAACGTCCCATTATATCCTCTTCCTCTCTCTCTCTCTCTCTCTTCTATGTTATTCTTCTTCAAACTGAGGAATGTTGCCTGATCTTCCTTCTTTCAAAACACTTTTATACCACAATTTGCTTGTTCTCTTCGTTTGTATTTACTTTCTTTGTTATTAGGTATTTGCTTATCCGGGCAAAGGTATTTGAGTTATTGTGTAGATTGAATGAATGATTTTGTTGATTAACTTGATAATCATGTGATACTTAGGGAGTAAAGAACATTATTGTTCTTGTTGGTTTGAGTGCCCTTATGAATTACTAAAGAATTTGGTTTTTTACCGTATTCCTTAAATGTGAAGTGAAATAAGCAATAAAGTAAACACAACGATTTTACGTGGAAAATCATCCGGCTCAAAAGATACAAAAACTACGGCCTACTGCGTAGGTTTTCAGCTTCAATTCCACTAGTACAATGAGCCAAAATATATCGATTACAAGACTCTAATTCAATACTCTCCAGTACTCCTATTACGGCTATTTGATTTACATGTTACTCTAACCTGTAAAGCAAACACTCACTCCAACTCACTAATTGTTTATGACACTTTGATTACAACTTAATTTCCTAACACACACTCGCTAGACTGACTCAAGAAGGACACAACACTGGTACTCGACTAGAGTGTGCAAAATGTAGTTCTTCAGTTGATGTGTAAAAAGGATGATCTCAGCAGCCCAGATGGATAGTATTTAAATGTCTGGACTCCAAGATCTTCTAGGAGTCCTATGCGTAGTCAGCTTCTCGTTTGATATGACTCCTATTGTTCCAAGGACTCCACAAGTCTTGGGACTCTTGTCTCTTACTAATTTATTCGTATCTTCTTGGGCAACAACCCTTATCCTGTGTAGCAGCCTTCTTTCACCAAATTCGAACCTCGGAAACTTTGAGATAAAGTTACTGTCTTGCAAAGACGTACAATCATCAACCATTAGGAGCTGGTCCTTTACCCTAATGAGCTGGTTCTACAGTTAAGCAGCTACGTTGAGGACCTGGTTCTTCCAACATTGCATCTGAACAAACTTTGTTAATCATCAAAATCTCAATACTCAATAAATTCTCCCTTTTTGATGATGACAAACTTTGTACATACTAGAACCAGGTAATCACATGATCAACAGACACATTTCACCACAGACATATTCACAACACCACCCCCCAACTCTATCTTCCCCCTTTGGGCATCATCAAAGAATAACAAAAAGATGTTAGACACATTAAGCATAGTTAATAGAAGATTCAAGGCCATACATGCTACAACACAAGCTCAAGAATTATCAAAGAGAACAGACTAAGCTGATGATCTAACACTGTACGAAGCATTAAAACATTATAAGAGAAGTTATGTAGTAGTGCCAAAATAAGCCTAGAGCCTTGTCTTAAGTAGAACAAAATAAACTAAACATGCTGCAACCTATTCAGACTAAAACAAAAAAAATAACAAAAACTAAAGCATCACTGGGATAACAAAAGAAACTAAGGACACTGGGAAGGAACAAGTTCATGGGTAAAAGGTAGAGGGGGTCAATGCTTTCACAAGAGTGGCAATCTGTTGGGCAGGAGCTTCCCTATCCCTTCCGAGCTCTTCCCTAATCTTCCTAGTTTCTTTTCTCAACTCATCACTGTCTTCTCGAAGCTTGGCATTCTCCTCAACAACCAACTCTAACCTCTTACCTAGCTCCACTGCCCTGCTGCTTCCAGGTAGAATAGCAGATCTTGTTGGTCCTCTAGCCTTGATCTCCTCATAGCCACACTGCTTGAGGGTAATAGCAACCAAAACATCATTGTGACTTCCATACTAAGCTCATGCAAGGCAATGTTGAGCCTGTCAAACAGCTCAATCAACATGAAGCCATAAGGCATAACATGCTTAGGCTTAGAAGTGTCTGCGGCTCTTGACATATGTTGTATCATCAGGCTAGGGAGATTTTCAGGTCTACCAGTGTCAAGAAGTTCCATTACAGCCATGTCCAATAGGGTAGCCTCATGCCTCAGACCTCTGCAGAATGCAGGAATTGACAAAGTGAAATAACAACTTGTGGAAGGGGGTCATATCAGTCTTGTACACCTTCTGGGAAGCATCTAGTTCAAACTTTTGGGAGAACTTCCTTGTGACCACAATTCCTATGTCCACATCTTGTCTATGGCTAGCCACTTTTTCTTTAAGTAATTGTCAAACCTAAAGAGGAAATATTCAGAAGCATCCCAACTCCGCATCATCAAACTCCATCTCAAACCCCCTTACCTTTCTTTTGACCACCTTTCCATCAAATTGGAAGTTTGCATAGAACTCCATCACAGCAAGAACACACACAGGAGGGAAAGCCTTGAAAAACATGTGTTTCTATCCCTGAAGCTCAAGCTTTTCAACCAGTTGAGCCATCCCCTTTTCATCAGTATTTGCAAGAATTTTCCCATTAAGCACTTATCTGTTCCTGAAACCACAACAGGCACATTCTTTCTCTACTTTCCTTTACTGGTCCTTGCAATGGGGTAGTAGTTTTTGTAGCTTTGACAACTTTTTTCTTTTGTGTTGATGACTTTTCTAGAAAAGCAGAATCAGACTCATCTTCTCCATCCAACTCAACAACAGGTTCCACAACTGAGACTTGCTTTCTTGGCTTCTTGGCACCTCTGGACTCCTTAATGATTTGTTCATCAACAACTTTTCTTTTACTCCTTGTGAGAGCAGTCCTAGCAGGAGGAACCACTCCTTTCCTTGCAGGGATTGCAAATTTTGTTAGTTTCACAGGAGTCTTCCTAGGTTTCTTCCCTACCTCAGACAAGGGCAAGTTATCTTCATCACTACTGACCTCCTCATCTTCAGTGAAAGGAGTTAACAAGGGCCTAGGTTCTTCAGTACTTTTCTCTCCACTTGCTTCTTCTGAAGGGGCTATGACAGTGTTCCGAATAGTCATAGAGCCTTCAGATTCCCCAGTCGTATTCTCATTCTCTTCCTCACTTTCTTCATCCTCTCCTTCACTCTCACTTACCTTTTCTTGATCCTCACCTTCACTTGCAGAATCGCCCTCTTCTTTACTGTTCGTTTCTTCTTCTGCAGAGTCATCCACTTATTCATCTATCCTATCTTCTGTCTCACTCTCCTTCTCTTCACCAGAATATCCCTCATTCTCACTCTTTTTCTCTTCATTAGCAATGTATGAGTAGTATGTCCCTCATGACTGCCCACAACTCATTCTTCTTTTTCACCCCTATTATTATCCTCATCCTCCGTCCAACTGAAAGAAAGACCATCATATGCTTCATTTTGTGCTGGTTCTTTACTCCATTCCCCCTCAACCACAGGCATCACAGTAGAGGTATCTACCCCTTTCTTCAAAGTTGCTACGTTTATTTCTACAGTGGGTTCCTCCACTTGTGATTTATCACTTGTGGGTGGACGGTATCTAAGGGTGTAGCATCTATAGCGAACATCTAATTTTGAGGGAGGGAGTTGTACTTGACTTGTATTAGCTGGTATTGATTCCCCATGAACCATAGCTTCCTTAATCACTACGTCTACTTTAGCAGCAGCATCAAGCACTACCTTGTCACTCTTGATAGATTTTCTTGGGGTAGCCTTGATCTTGGTTAACTTAGAGGTGTTTTTTGAGGTAGGAACAGATGAATGGGTGGTTGGTTTTGGAAGTGAAGGCCCAGTGAAGGTGGGGATGGTGAGAACATCAAGAATAGGGGATGATGAGACCAAGGGGATGTGAACTTTGATATTTCCATGGCCTAATCTGCATTCCCAAAGATGGTTCACCTAAGGAGTGACCCAAAGGAACAGGTTCAGTAGGTATAGCTTCATCAGTCTAGTTAGCAGTCAGAGTAGCTCTCTCTTCTTCTTGTTCCTTGTGATCACTGTCAACTTCCTTGTGATCTCCAGATCCATTTTCAGATTGAGGTTCAGGTTACTTAGGAGCTCCTTCACCAGAGAGTCCTATGTCATAATCTTCATCCCGCAGACCTTTCTCAGCCAAATTGTTATATTCATCAAAAATAACATGAACACTTTATAGGCCTTATTATTTGGAGAGTAACCCAAGAAAATTCCTTCATCACTTATGTCATCAAGCTTACCTAGAGCTTCTTTGCCATTATTGTGCACAAAATATTTGCACCCAAATGCTCTCAAGTGAGTGATGTTGAGCTTTCTCCTTCGAAATAACTCATAGGGAGTTTTCTTAAGAATAGGTCTGACCATGCATCTGTTCAGCAAGTAACAGGCAATATTGACTGCCTCAACAAACTCTTAGGCTGTCCACCAGAAATTAGCATGGTCCTCCCCATGTCTTCTAGGGATCTGTCCTTTCTTTCTACAATACCATTTTGTTGTGGAGTTCTAGGTACAGAGAAATTATGATCAATGCCATGTGTGTTATAGAATTCAAGAAATTTGGAATTTTAAACTCAGTTCCATGGTCTGTTCTTATACTTAAAACATTACAACCCAGTTTATGTTGGATCATTCTGACAAATACACAGAAATTATCAAAAGTTTCATCTTTAGATCCCAAAAACAGAGTCCATGTATACTTGAAAAAGTCATCTATATTGACAAAAACATACTTCTTACCTCCTCTGCTCCTGACTCTCATTGGTCCACATAGGTTTATGTGAAGGAGTTCTAGAGGTTTGGAGGTGCTGACAATCTTTTTAGATTTAAAAAGGGTGACCTTACATGTTTCTCTCTAACACAGGCATCACAAACCTTCAACTTTTGGTAGACCAAGGACCAAGTCCTTTGCTGCCAACTTGTTGCGTTGAGAAAGGCTAGCACGACCCAGTCTTCTATGCCATAGCAGTGGGTCATCCTGCACTACACTTAAGCATGTGTGCTCACTCTGAGAAAGAGACATAATGGATATCTTGTAAACATTGTTATGTCTCTTACCTTTCAACACAACTTCATCAATATCAAGCTTAGTGACAATAAAGATTTTGGAATTGAATTTTACTTCATTTCCTTTATTACACATTTGAGAGATGTTAAGAAGATTGTGTTTAAGGCCTACAACATAATACTCATCTTCTATAGCATGAGAGAGTGACTTACCAACCTTACTAATACATGTTATCTGGCCCTTTTTCCCCTTTCTAAATGACACACTCCCTCCTTGGAAGACTGTTACTGAGAGGAAGTTTTTCTTTTCTCCAGTCATATGTCTTGAGCATCCACTGTCTAGATACCACTCTTGATTGTTACCTCTCACTTTAGCCTGCACCAAAGATCACAAGTTAGTCTTGGGAACCTAGACAAGCTTAGGTCCCTTTTTATTTGAAAAATGATGGATCGGATGTCTTTTTGCCCAGAATGGGAGAGGATTAATAGCTATTTTCTTATTAACCTTAATCCACTTAGTATGGACATAAGGCTTGGCTTTTGGTTCCTCTTCCTTCTTCATATTTTTAGCAAGACCAAATGTATTTTTAAACTGGGCATGAATTAAGGCAGGACAAGTCTCTCTAAAGTGTCCAACCTTTCCACAATGAAAGCTCATTTTGTTATCAGAAATTCCTACATACTTTGGATCAAACTTGGAAACAGGTTTTCTGTATCCAATTCCTGATTTGTCAGAGCTGCAGTTTTCATTCAACCAGTTCAAGGCATCTGAGGATCTATGCCATTTGCTTAGTCTAGATAGTTCATAATTAGTCTTTTCTAGATTCCTGTAAGACTTTATTCATACATTCAGCATCACAAAGATTATCTTTAGCCTTTTTTAATTCCTTTTCAAGCTTATCCTGCAGATCACTCATTTTTCCCTTACAATGTGTATCAGGTGACTTCTCATTTTTAGAAGTGAGCTCAAAAGCCTGGTTCTTAAGGTCTTTGACCCATCCTTCTAGATTAGTTTTGTCAGATTCAAGTTCTTTGAGATCAAGTTTGACACATGAAAGGTTGCTTATTAACTGATCATTTCCAGCACTCACTTTATCCATTTCACTCATCATGGTCATAATTATGGCCATCAGTTATTTTTTAAACACTTTCGAGTTAGAGATACTTACCTGATTTGTTTCATCTTTAGTTTCTGAATCACTCATGGCCATCATTCCTATCACTTCTTCTTTTGATTGGCTTTCCTCAATCGTCATCAGTGCCATTTAAATGTTTTCATCTCCACAATCAGCTTCTAATGTCCTCCATATATCATGGGCAGAGATGCAAGATGACACTTTGTAGAGACCATTTCTAGGCAAGCTTCTGTAGAGCAGGTCCTTTGCTTTAGCATTTTTCTGGATTAGCTAACGATCTTCATCATCGTATTCCTCTTCTCTGTTGTTACACTTGTTACCTTCACCATCCATTTTGGTATGGATGATTGGTCTATGACTGACAATTACCCATAGGTCAAAGTCATTGGCCTAAAGGAACGTTTCCATACGCAGCTTCCATTCATCATAGTGATGTCCATCAAATAGAGGAGATCTTCCAATGTGCATTCTAAGTTGTACTAGAAATGTCTGATGTTCATTAATTACAGCATAGAGACTTATAGCCTCATCCTCCTTTTCTTCTTCTTTATCACTTCCACTGTCCTCATATGCTGCCAAGAAGGCATGATACATTGCTTCAGTGAATCCTTTACCTAAGATTTTTCCTTTGTTGGAACCCTTCTCTCTCATCTTCTCCCGTTTCTCCTTTTTAGCCCATTCTTTCCTCCACTCAATTTCCCACATTTTGACCATGTGGTCTAGCTTGTTGCACTTGTAGCACCCATCATAATTAGCTTTGTCAATCTGCTTAGGCTTACCGCTGGTCTCTTTTTTAGATGCATTTTTGGAGTCCTTCATGAACCTCTTCAACTTAGCAAACATTGCTAAGTCAGGATCATCACTGTCAGATTCATCTTCCTCAAACGCTTTAAGGACCAAGGGCTTGTCTCTCTTTGATTCTTCCTTACGCAGTTCTATCTTTCTCATTTCATGAGTCTTTAAGTTTCCAACTAACTAATCAAGTGAGATCTTGTCCAGTTCCTTGGTTTCCTGAGTCGCTGTGACTTTTTATTCCCATGAAACTGGAAGGATCTTTAGAACTTTGCTAACCAACTCTTCTGAGGTAAACACCTTTCCAAGTGACTTCAGTTCATTAGTTATTATGGTAAACCTAGTCATCATCTCCTGGATGGGCTCAGACACCTTCATGGATAAGAGCTCATAGTTTCTCATAAGTAGTTCTATCCTTGATCTCTTCACTTGGTTTACTCCTTCATGAGCAGTTTGGAGTGCATCCCATATCTCCTTTGCATTAAAGCAAGCAGATATTCTTTTGTACTCATCAGGACCAAGTCCACAGATAAGAATTTTCTTAGCCTTTGCATTCTTCTCCATTCTGAAATCTGGTGCCACAAATTCAGAGGGGTCTTTAGGAACTGTTTCATTTTGCGCATTTTTTTTAGTAGGAGTCAATGGATCTTGGTTCACTATGGTCCATAGTTCATAGTCTTCAGCTGTCAGGAAGTCTTCCATTCTTGTTTTCCACCAACTGTAGTATTTTTCATTGAACAGGGGTGGTCTGGTAGTTGATTGTCCTTCATTAGATCCGGGTGGAGCACTCATTTTGCTTCCAAGATCTCTCTAGGTGCTAGCCGTGTGTGAGAAAACTTGCTCTGATACCAATTGTTAGTTTGAGTGCCCTTATTAATTACTAAAGAACTTGGTTCTTTACCGTATTTCTTAAAACATGAAGTAAAATAAGCAGTAAAATAAACACAACGATTTTACATGAAAAATCACCCAGCTCAAAAGGTACAAAAACTTACGACCTAATGCGTAGGATTTTCAGCTTCAACTCCACTAGAACGAGCCAAAATGTATCGATTACAAGACTGTAATTCAATACTCTCCGGTACTCCTACTACGACTATTAATTTACAAGTTACTCTAACTTGTAAAGCAAACACTCACTTCAACACACTAACTGTTTATGACACTTTGATTACAACTCATTTTCCTAACACACATTCACCAGACTTACTCAAGAAGAACACAACATTGGTACTCGACTAGAGCGTGCAAATTGTAGTTCTTCAGTTGATGTGTAAAAAGACGATCTTAGCAGTCCAGATGGATAGTATTTAAATGCCTGGACACCTAAATCTTCTAGGAGTCTTATGCATAGTCAGCTTCTCATTTGATAGGACTCCTAATGTTCCAAGGACTCCACAAATCTTGGGACTCTTGTCTCTCACTGATTTATTCGTATCTTTTTGGCAACAACCCTTATCCTACGTAACACCCTTCTTCCACCAAACTTGGACCTGAGTAACTTTGAGATAAATTTACTGTCTTGTAAAGATGTACAATCATCAACAATTAGGAGCTAGTCCTTTACCCTAATGGTATAACCGAAGATTGAGGCCAACGATGACCCCAAGTAAATTTGTTTATGCCAACGAATGCCTAACTTTCTATTTAGTTACTCTAACGCACTTCGATTGCCTTTAATTGAAATAATCTTTTGTAAAATTCCCATGAAATTATGCTTTCTACTTCCTTTGATAAAGACAAACAGAAATACGCAAACAGTTTATGTTGAGCTTGGTTTATTCCAAAGGTATGAACTGAAGGATGTAACTGGGCTCCTCCTTCCAATAGTCAGTCCTATAATCTATATGGTATAACAGATATATGCTGAGATGTTCTTGCCTAGCTGCATTCGAAGATATACACGGCAAGGGATGCCGGTGCCAATATTATAAAAGGAGTTGATATGGGAACCCTTCATTGAATAATGTAGAACAAACTTGCAAAGAGAAGTCCTTTAATGGCTAAGCTATCGTCCATGAAATCCCTCTTAATAGTTTAGCATTTTTAAATGATAATAATAATACCCCGAGCCAATTTGTACCCATCAATTATTTTAACTAGTACCGAATTACTAGTATCGTCAAAGACCAAATTGTCGATTTAGGTACATGAGCTACTATATATAAATGTAACACGTAAGATACCAAAAACAACATACATATTTTCAATTAATATATAGTCCTACTAGTAGCTGCGGGCTACATGTTTTTGCAGCCGCCTCAGCTTTTCTCAAGTCATCTACACTTCATCCCTTCCCAAATCCCTAATTTCTCCACAAAACTCATCAACCCTTTTCTTTCCCCATCACAACCAAAAAAGTAAAAATAAATAACCCCATAATCAGAAGACCTTACTTTTCCCTAATCCCAACTCCAAAAAGCATTTTTCTAAAGACTTCTACAATCCCCAAAACCCGTCAAACAAACAGAAACATACTATAATAAAAAGTCTTGAATTTAGCTACTTTTTCTTGTTAAACTCTGAAGTTTTTCCCAATGAAAGTTTGACCAAATTGCCAATGAGGTGGAGCAATGTTCCATGAAGTGGAGCTGCGTCTATCACTGGCTGTGACCCTAAATGAAAGTGACTGACCAATCAAAACCGAATTTGTTTGATAATTTTGACCCCAATTACGACTCATTGTTATCCAATTTGTCTTTGAACCTTTTACGTAAACCCTCACAATATCCCCTGCACCCGCCACGTTGGTAACCAAAACCAAATTGAAGTAACGGAAGCCATTAATTGTGAACCTTATTCCACCTTTCTTCCTGCATGGCACCCTGCGTAAATAAATAAAAAAACTCAGGTAAGTTTTGTCATTTGAGTAACAAACATGAGGGCAGATGTGTTAATGTGCTACGTAGAGTGTAAATTAAATATGAGGACGCAGTACGGCAAGGACTAGGTGGCTATAGAAGACTGTGCTCCACTACCTAGGGTTTGATGTTTGACATTCTTGTGGAATACTGTGCTTCGTTTGATTTTCCTAATATCCAACTCTACCAATGGCTTTGATTTACCAGGTCGATGGAAGGCTTTACCATTTAACCAGTTAACTCGGCACAAATTTAAGGATCCGTTAGGACATAAATTCCAAAATATTTTTTGAAAAAAGCTAATTTGGCTGAAGTTTTATTTAAAATTGAAAATGTGTAATTTTTGAGGCAAATTTTGACATGCTAAAAAGTATTTTTCTTTTCTTTTTTTCAGCCAAAATGTCTAAATGGTAATGATTTGGCCTAAAATTATATTTGAAATTTGAAGTTTTCGTTTTTAAAATTTTCCAAAAATTAAATTAATTCTATAAACAAATACATATTTGACGAGAAAAAAAATTAGAGAAAAACTTCCAAAACCTATGGTGAAACGCTACTAAGTTAATTGAGTCATAAGTTAAACATAGAGTTTAACTCTTTTGTATAAATGTGCAATAAAACTTTAAGCCAAAAAATAACTACATGTAATAATACTGTACAAACTAATAATGCGAAAAGAGGAAAAATATGCCAGCAAATGGACGTGCGACAGGTTATTTTCCTTCTACCCTATGAAAGAACAGAAAATCTGACAAAAGCAATAATTTAAAAACCAAACACATAAAGATAACCCCACGAGAAGGACAAACCCAAGGCATCAAAAGAAACAGGAGAAGCACAAAATGCTTACCGGCGGTAAACGACGGGGACAATTCCGGCACGGTACTCAGCAATCTTAAGGAACATAGGCATGGCAAGGTCAAAATGAGGACGAGGAGGGTTACACCATCCGCCATTGTCGTTCGGCAGAGCAAAGTTGGGAGGGCAGAAATTAGTAGCAGTAATAAATATGGAAGGACTACCGGAATGGCACGATTGTGGGTCTTTGTCACACTTGATCTCAAAGCACGCTCCACAACTTAAGCCATTGTTGAATAGCGCTGTGCTCAGTGCTCCATTGTTCACTCCGTACCCTTGACTGTATAGATTACCGTACCCACACGCCCCACCTGTTTAAATCAAAAAAAATCCTCTTAAGTTTAAATATATGACACCTCTAGCTTCAAATATTGGCTTGCATTACTTTAAAGTAGAACCAAAATGCTAGAGTAGAGAGCAAAAAACAGAGTAGAACTGGAACATTTCAAGGGTTATTTCAACGTTTAACTCATATCTTAGAAAGTCACTAAAAACTATACATTGAGTAAATAAGAAGAACAAGAGAACCCCTGAAAATGGTGGTTGAAAGTGAAAAAGGTTATAGCGGAAATGGTGACGTACCCATAGTACCAGAGGCATCACTGCCGCCATAGAATGTAGCATGAGCACTCTGCCATGCTCCACCACTATAAACACCTGGGATTCTGCCTTCAACTGCTGCTACTAATATTAGTGAAAAAATAAAGGCCACATTCAAAAAACCCATTTCTTTTCTGTAAAATAGAAAGAAAAATGTGTGAAGAAAGGGAATGGGGAAGTAGTGGAGGGAAAGAGGACTACTTATGGAGGGAGCCCTAAAAGTGAATCAGTGGCAGTTGATGTAATTATAGTGTCAGCAGCCGTCCCTTCTTGTAAATACCTGCCTATGTTTATTAGGCGTCCCAAACGATAATTCACTTTTTTACTTCACGCTCCAATGAGGAAAGCTAAAGGGCTCAACAATTTCGAGATAGTGTCACTCGTGTTTTAACTCAGTAAAAATGTTTTTTTCTACTTTTTACATGAAACTCTGCCGTATTTATTTTCTTTTATTTACTGCTACCTCCGGATCAAAATAAGTGATTTTTTAAATGTTTTTACACATATTAAGAATCTATCTTTTAGCATTAATTAGCAATGAAATTGACCATTTTCACCTTTACAATCTCACATAAACACTCCTAACACATACTCCAACACTATTTACTCCAAGGACAATGTAGAAAAAAAATAATTAATACATTCTTGAAATCTTGAAAAATCACTTATTTTGAATCACAAAAAAAAGCCAAAAAATTACTTATTTTGGACCGGAGGGAGTACTAATCTTTAGAGTGCATATGGTCCACTAAATACTTTTTGTCTAATAAGACTCTTTTCGCACCATTTGCAGACATCAACAGAGCAAGTGGTATCTATACGAAAGAAATAAAATTGACTTAGAACAGAGAGGTCAAATTTTATAATCATAATACTCGCTCTACATTTTTTATAATGTAAGAAAATAGTACCTTTTTATATTTGGTATAGTAATTTAATTTTCATTTTTTTGTTTTATCATAGTGAGATGATTTATAATTTTTTTAATAGTCAAATATTAAATTTTTAATATTAAATTTCGTGTATAATCAAATAATATTACATAAATTGAGACGAAAAGGATACTAATAATTTATGTCAATACTCAATGTGGGGTTGCTTTACATGACAAGTTTAAAAGCAAAGGGAAACAAGACCAAACCAGCTGGATAACTTGGTAGGGGTCAGTGCTACATCACATTATTAGGTCCCGTTTGGCCATAAGTTTTCCCAAAATAAATTTGGGATTTATTTTCAAAACTCATGCTTGGCCATAAATTTTGCTCATATTTTGGCCAAATTCCAAATTTCAAATCCCAAAATCAGCTATTGAGCTGATTTTGGGCCAAAATCTCAAAACTTGGGAATTATATACATGTTTTTCCAAAATAAAATTGGAAAATATGTTTTGAAAGCGTATGTCCAAATACATTTTCATCTTCAAACCAAACTTCACCCAAATCAGAAAAATAAATTTGGGATGTATAGCGAAACGCTAGCTTAATAGGCCAATACGAAGAGCATTGTGGGCTTCAATTTTGGGGTGGGGCCCTAAAGACAAACGCATCTTCTCGAGCCGCACGCGCGACATACACTACGCATTCTGGTAAAAAGTGAAACCAAAGTTAAAACAAGGAACAAGGCTTTTTCACCTTCTCTTTTCACTTTGTGGACCAAATTATCTTAACTTTTTCCCCACCAGAATGTTCTGTAGCTATACCTTTTTAGTTTTGAAATATTTTTAGGCAGCAGAAGGGTTAAGATTTAAGAAGTTTCATAGAGGATTACATGGAAATCCAATGATTGTGTCCCTCCGAAATTATAGGCTACATCTTCATGCTTTTGTTCGAGTTAATTTCTTACTATACTCCTAGAACTAATTCGGAATTTGTTCATTTTTTAAGTTTTTTTTTTAAATCACACTTTTCGAAGGAGTTCAAATTTTCTATTTATTCACATTTTAGTGATTTATTCACATACATATTTAATCTTTATCAAAATACTCGATTCATTAAACCAGCAATACAAGCTGCATTCATCACTGGCCCGACTTGTCGTAATTTCTTTCATTTTCTCTTGTTTCTTTTCCCCAGATATAAACTGGATATTCAAATAACCAACCATCAGGGGCGGATTTAGGGGGCGCAAGGGTGTTCACCCGAACCCCCTTCGCGAAAAATTACACTATGCATATAAGGCAAAATCTGATTTTTACCTTTATATATTATGTTTTGAATCCCCTTCTCACAGCCCAAAAGCATGACTTAGTGATCAAGGAGGTTTAGAACCATCATGAGGTCATTGGCTCAATTCCAACTAGTTACAATCTCTTTAAATTTTTTAACTTATTCCTTTTTTGAACCCCCTTGTATATACTTAGAAAAGAGAGAGTGCATTTTTAACCCTAATTAGTTTAATATTAGTGTTACAACGTAAAACCATAATATGACAATAGTCAAATACTTCCTAGCACATCCGCAAAAAGTGAGATAAAGCTCCTAGTAGGATGGATAACCCATTGTCAAGAAGCAACAGTTCGAATTGCAATACATGAGCTCGAATCCTAGTAAGCTTCGATTAAGTCTTTCTTGTTCCATGTTTGTCATCTAATTAAAATTAAAATTAAGAAAATCGATCGATATTTGCCAATACATTTAATTAGTCATAAGCTCGATTAATCCTAGTATGTTCTTATTAGTGAAAATTGAATTGCAAAAGAAAGTGATGAAGAGTAAGTATATATTCACGGGAAAGAAGAGACAATCACGGGGATTTCCTTCCCCCTTAGTATGATAGATCATGCTAGAATCATTCTTTTGCTACTAAAAATGGAAGTAAAAAATGTAAAAGTTGGGACTAGACATATATATATATATATATATATATATATATATATATATATATATATATATATATATCAAGCTCGTAGTCATTCCAATCAACTTATAATAATAAACATATTTTTCTTAAAGAAGGGAAATGAAAAAAGATTCTTGTTCCACATGTCAAACTTTAATTTAATTTGTCGTAAGTGATTTAAATATTCATTTTAATTTTAACTACTAAAGTTACATTAATTTGATGTAACACTAAATAACACTAAATGCATATAAGAATTTAATCGAAAATACTCCATATAATTAAAAATTCAAAGAAGGAAAAGGAAATATGGCAGCCGACAGTAAGGACGAACTTTGACATCCCCAGGCCTTTTAAAAATGGAGATGTTTTATTCTAGTATATTTGCTTGTTTAATTAAAACATCTTGCTTTTGAGTTTTGTAGTGCACGGATTTTAAATATAAGGGTCAATTCATAAAAAGAAAAAGTGCTTGCATGAGTCAAAAGTGTTTGACGTAACTATGTAACTTCATGTAATTTGGAACCTATCTTTTGGTAGATAGTTTGTTTACCGTATTTCTCGATTATTTAGACTAAAAGTTCACCTCGAATTTGTACTTCTATTTGATTTCTTTTTGTTTCAAAATTTGGTCGTGGTCTGTTTTTATCGTGTTCTTAATTAGTTCCATCCGATGCTCTTCACCTTTCGTATTTGGAATTTTATTGACGTTTTTTAACTTATTGTCAACGGCCACATATATATATAGTGTTAGGTGTTAGGTATTGTTACTTTCATTTGTACTGCTCTGCTGCAACTAACATGGCATCTTCTAGTGATAACGACCTTCTGATTGCTACTCTGTAAAATAGCAGGACCTAACTTTAGGTGCAAGGACATATTGTAGTAAAGAGCATATTTCTTGTATAATTAATTAGAATTTCATTGAATCTCGGAATAAGGGTGGAAGTGATTTGATCCTGAAATTGTATTGCGTATCAAAAATCATATGAGTTTAACTTTTATACACATGATGGTATACTACATTCATTTTATAATTCCTCCTCCCTTGAAGATGAGATACATAAAGCATGGTTAACTATCAACTTTCTTAATTTGTATGTACGCGTATATATATTATGGTGTAGAACAAGTGCGTGTATGTTTTCTGAACGGAAGAGAAGAGAGGGGATGGAAAGGAGAAGAAAGATAAGATGTGATATTCCCTTACTCCTAAATATCCAATGATACCAATTTTCTCACAGCAAATCAGTAGCTTTTGTCAAGTTTTGGATATATGTTTTACCCGTTATATCATCTCACTTGGTGTTGGGAGCTTCTCTAGAATCGAATAACGAAAACTTGTTTTGACTTCTTGTTGTATTGAAGTGTAATAAGCTAAGTCTAAAGAAGACCGAAAATATTGTGTAAGATATTATTGCAATAATCGGCATCACTACTTTGAGTAGAAGTATATTCTTTCAAATTTTTCATATTGTATCGGGTAAAATCGCGGTAATGAGCACCCCGATTTTCGGGTAGGGCGAACAAAGAGAGGACATAACTGCGTGTAGTCGAGATCGAAGCTGGGAGCCGCCCGTATCAAAGCTCGGACAAAGCACCTGTCCATGGAGCCATCGAGATCATGCCCACGGACCTGATTCGGATAACGAGGCCTCAGAAAGCATTGCCAAACGACCACACATGATTAACAAAGGGCCGTGATATCCGTGCCCAATCGGATATCACAACGTGAATCTCGGCCCGTATCAGCGGTAGATCAGTGATTAGTGAAAAGAAAGATTTTTACCTTTTTTAGAATTTTACTTAGGGTAAAACTCCCCTACTATATACATTAATGGGAAGCTGATTATTCATTACACACATTGTAATACGCATACAAAGGCAATATACATATATTTTTCTCTGTTTCTAAAGGATTGTTCAAAGCTCTTAATTTGGTTGATAAGTTCTTCATAAGCATTGGTTCGGAACCGAAGGCGAGCTTTTCGTTAAGCCTTTAACCGAGCCCGAATTCATTATCATTATTGGTTTGGCTATTTGTTCTAATTTTTATTTGCTTATCTAACGTCATTATTCATTTGTATTGAACTGCTCCAGATATCCTTAAAATCGCATACAAATTCAATTGCTATCCATTTTTAGGGGTAAACAGTTTGGCGTCCACCGTGGAGCTAAGGATAATAGCAGTAGTTTGTTACAAATTTCCATAACATACTATATTTTACGCCTGTTCTTTAAGATTTTAATTTCAGATCTACCTAAGGATGTCAAACTCTCAGTCTGCTCACTTCTACATTGATATTGTGTCTGGCCATCATGGCGAAAATAGCAATATAGCACCTAGCAACA